TCCGGCTGTTGGGTGGAGGAAGGTTGCTCAGTACAGCAAAGCAAAGCACCAAAGGGTGAAGTATAGCAGATTTCTATTTAAAATTTAGTTTTAATATAAGTCTTTTTTGGACTGCCTTTCTAATCCAATTATTCGCAGCTGTTCATTGGGGAAGGACATCCAGGGACATGCAGTCCATTTTTAGAACGTGAAATGAGAAATTTCCTTCGATTGGCTCTGTTTTTTGCCAGCTGGCCTGTTTTGAAATGTCAGCAAACTGGTGTTAGTTTTGGACAAGGGGTGGGGGTCAGCATGAGGAGTGGGAGTTTAACAGCTGGTAAGAGGGCATGTGCTGTACGAGGAAGAGACTGAGGAGATGAAGCTAGATTTTGGACAAGTGTCAAGGGAGTATCAGTGTTTGCACAAGACAGCATGGCTTTTTTTCAAATTTAGATTGGGGTTTTTTTAGAGTTTGAGTGAGCAAGATTGAATATTGTCACTTTCTTTTAAAGACTTGAGCTGGCTCATCTGCACAGAGGGCATGTAACTCTCTGCCAAGGGGTGACCTTCTAGGTTGTTAATTGTCGCCATAATTCCCACGAAAGATATTTCTGGGGTTTGTAAATTAAGCTGTATCCTGACTGGAAATGGCTTTAAGCCTTTAGTGTTAGGTCTCAGCGAAGTCACCACATGGTGAGGCCTGAGTATGTGGGCATCCAGTTGCTACTAAGAGCCAGACCCAAAAGTTCAGTAGCATTTAGGATCAAAAGAAGTCTGGTAGTTATTAATATTCCCTTTTTAGGAAGAGCAAGCACTTTTAATTTACGTAATTGGTCATATCTTGATAAAATTCTGAGCTGTTTCAGGGCAGGAACACTCAGAGTTCTGCCAATCCCCAAACAGGCCAAAAATGCATGAGATTATAAATAAATCTTAAAACTTTTTGTTGTGTTTTTTTTAACTCCTAGCAAGACAGCCCCCATCCTAACTCAAAAGCAATCAGATCGTTGTTTTTGTGCTCTCGGTTTATATGAGAACAAGAGGTCACTGGATGACATTACTGCTTCGTAAATTTAGAACAAATAAAAGGAAATGCTACTTCACCTAGTGCGTCGTCATCCTGTGGAATATACTGTTCCAGGATGTTAGTCAAAAGCTGTAGCCGGAACATAAAAAATAGCTGGACCATGCATGCTTGTTTCTAGCCATGCTTGCCAACGGGGATAACGGAGCCTCGTGTTCCAGAGCGCCAGCTCAGCGTGGCTCTAGCTGAGAGCAAACACCCCGGACTCCTTGCCTGGGAGAGGACAGCTTTGGAGGAGGAAGATTGCTGTGGCTTCTTTTGGAGATTACAAGGATGATTTTGTTTTATTTTATTGGTCTAAGATGTCAGATTGATCATGGATCACGTCTACGCAGCGCCATGTATGCAATAGCCTTTCTCCCTCTGTTAGTATCCTTCGGCAGGTGGATATCTGGACTTGAAATTACTGCCTCAAGTAGGAGGAGATAAAAGCGGTAGGATGAGTTTTTTTCTCTCCCTGTGAGTGAGAGCATGTTTCTGTTAATCTCAATTCTGCCCTTACTCAGCACTGAGGTAGCTGCATGCCTGTTGCACATCAGCGTATGCAGGGAAGAGCCCAGCGGCTGCCAGAGGTTTCCTTACGCACGTGAGGTCCCGGTGTCGGCTGTTGGATGTGAGCCTGTTCGAAAGGCAAGAACTGCTGAAACGGTCTGC